GCCCACGGGCTGTGTGCGATGGCCCCGCGCAGGGCGGCCCTGCCGCGCTCGGCTCGCGCCGGGGCAGCTACTCTGTAACAGGAACAGGGAGCAAAGAGGTTTGTAATTGTATTCTAGTAAGCTGGGGAGGGGAACTTTAAATTCTGTCCTAGCTTTGTGCTCTCTCAAATACTAAAGAGTAATTACCAGTTAAGAAGTTAGTTTGGAGCTCCGTTCTTTACAGAACCGGCAAGCAGGCCAATCCCATATAATTTTGAATCTTAACGATTTTGCAACATTGGAAAAGTTTATCTTCTAGTTAGGAATGCTAGTACTGACCTATGTTAAAAAGGTTTTATTGCATATGCTTGGAAAGAACAGTGACACTGAAAGTTAATCATTGTGTGTGTGTGTGTTTTTTTTTTTTTTCCCTATGACTTCTTATTACATTTCTTTGGACTTGCCATCTTTCACTAAAACCTTGATTAAATATACAGAGAAAATAATAATTAAAAAATGTGACTCACACAGTGAGTCTTTTTGGTTTCCCTTTTATGTGGTGTGTGTATATATATATATGTATCTATATATGTAACCTAAATCACTTGCAACAATGGACAAGAAAATACATGGAGGGTAAGCCCAACATCTGGAATCTGATTTTGATTGTACCTTACAGTATTGTTGCACTGAAATCTGGGAAGCGATGTTACAGTTTGGGAAGAGCTAATTTTGTTAAAAAGCCAAGGAGCTTAAAGCCACCTGAGTGATAAAGGCCATTCCACTGATAAAATATGTTGCTTTCAATTCTAAACTTATACAGGAGTTTTTTTCTTAATAAAATTTATTTTGTTGCTTTGCAGAAGCAATGACTTACCTGATCTGCTTTCAGTTTGAATAAGGTATAAAAGCAAAATGGATGAAGACGAAACTTTACAAAGTGAACCAGAGGCAGCGAAAGTCAAAACTCCTGAACTCGGCCGCCGGGTATCAGTTAGCGAGTTCCTTTGTCACTGCTGTTACGACATTCTGGTCAATCCCACCACCTTGAACTGTGGCCATAGTTTCTGTAGACATTGCCTAGCGTTGTGGTGGGTGTCCTCCAAGAAGAATGAATGTCCAGAATGCAGAGAAAAATGGGAAGGATTCCCCAAAGTCAACATTGTCCTCAGGTGATTGTAATATGCTTTTAATTGTATGGTTTCTTGAGTTTGCTGTGGATTTTCATAGCTTATTGGTAATTAAGTTTTCACAAAGATCTTCAAAGCCTTTCAGGTCCTGTAATTGTTCTGAATTTTCTTCTCTGTGGAACTGAGCAATTTATTTTTGTTTGTTTTGAAACGCTTCCATCTTTTAACATAACTGATTGTTTCCTAGTAATTCTAAATTAGAATGATCTTTGATAACTGTGTGGTTATTTCTTCGTTGGAATTGTGTATAAGAATAAATGAGATCTTACTGTAGAACAAAACTAAAAATACTAATTTGTTGTTTTGAATTATCCCAGAAATTCTTGTGCCTTTTTAAGGCACGGTTGATTTATGTTAATAATATTTTGTTAAATATTATGATTCCAAGAATGACAGTGGGCTTTTATGTTGTCTTTTGCCTAACATTTTTGAATAATCAAGGGTTGTCAGTAGTACACAATAGCAGTTTTATAAATTAAATAAGGACTATTTTCATGCTTTCAAAATTATCTCTGCTAGAGGCTGGAAAACAAACATCTAAAATGCCTTTTCTTAATGTTAATCATCAATGGATTACAGTACAATGACAAGTATATTTCCCATTAGGGATGTTATTGAAAAGCTATTTTCTGATGCCATTGAACAAAGAAAAGAAGATATTCAACAAAACAGTGATGTAGCACGCAGTTTAGCAACCTTCCAAAAATACGGGAATGACCAGATTCCTACAGCTCCAAACATAAGAAGAATTAATCCTCGAGGAGGAGGATTTTTCTCAGGCGTTCTGACAGCTTTAACTTGTGTAGCAGTAAGTTTCATCTCGATGCTTTTCCATGTTTACTTCATTAAGTGTGCAATCAAATATACTTAAATTACACATACATGAAAATGTCATTAGCATACAAGAGACTGTCACTGAGCTAAGTAAATAAGGTGGTGTTCAGAGCTGTTTGTCAGAAACATAGAGCAAATAGAAATCAGACATAATCAGGTAAAATTTCAAGTCTTTCTTATAAGCTAAATATTCTAGGGCCCTTAAAATGGATAATTTTACATGTTGGACACTATAATACACATCTGCTTTCCTTGTATCACTAACATATTTGCCTTTTAGGTAAAGAATCTCCCTTTGTCTTTTATTTATAATGTATGTGTAGGTAGTTCTGCTTGGGTATCACTGGAGTAGCAGAGAATTTGAAGATGATCTTCTTGTCCAAAAGCCTGTTGCTAAATGGACTGCTGAAGACGTGATCCTTTGGCTAGAGCAGCTCGGCCCATGGGCATCACTTTATAAAGAAAGATTTTTGCGTGAGAAAGTCAATGGAAGGTGAGGAGTCTTGCTGGCAAGAACAGCTGTCGCTTGGTTGGGCTCCTGGATAACATTCTTTAGGCATGGAGTATTGCAAGTTTGGCCTGCAGACTGGGGGAATATTCTGTTGATGTATCAGACTAAAATTCAGGAGAAGTTTAACACATCTAGTTAAAAAACTGCAAGTGGTTCCCTTAATATTTATTACTGAAGTTCTTCTAATATGTTTAAATGCTGACAATATGGATTGAAATGATATTGAAAATTCTACTTAATGCATCATCAGCACCCACAGTGTGCATCCCCCCCCAAAAAAAAAAAAAAAATATACATATGCTATTTGCATTGTTGTAGTCCACCCTAGAGTTACTGGTTTGATGTCAGGAGGCCAAACTAGGTCTGTGAAGTGTTGTGTTCAATAATACCTAACATGCAGATAAATGTGCATGCTGAGCACAAGCAAGAGGAAAGAGGGAATATTCTTGAAAAGAAGGATATTTAAGATCTAGGTGCTGAGATGCAGTTGATTCATAATGTCTGGTATGGAACGTCTCATTGCTAATTGTGCTAGTCATTGTGTGTTTTTTTGGAGGGGGGGAGGGAGGGGGAGATGGTCACTGTTTACCTTTTAAATTCTTCTGTTTTTGAAGGCTACTTCTAACCCTGGCAGAGGAAGACTTCTCAAAAGAGCCTTACAATATAGAGAACAATAATCACCGAAAAGCGATTATGTCAGAATTGGAATGTGTCAAAACTTTGGGGGTTAAACCTCCACAGAACCTTTGGGAATATAAGGTAATTTTTGTATGAAGTCTATCATGTATACTAAGAATCTTTTAAAATAATATTTTAAAATTAGAAGTTAAGTTCAGGAGTAGAATTATCTCTGTGAAAACTTCATAGTTAGTTACCATTTCTTACTGAAAGAAATGGGTTGTGTTTGAACAAAAATATAAAGATCACCAGAACGGTCTAACTGCATTTTACAGTGTTTTTGTTGTTTGAAATTTGATACCTTTCAGGCAGTAAATCCTGGAAAATCACTCTTTCTTCTATATGCGCTGAAGAGCTCTCCGAGACTCAGTATGTTATACCTGTATTTGTTTGATTATGCAGAAACCTTTTTACCTTTCATCCACACAATTTGTCCTATGCAAGAAGATGAATATGAAGATATTGTCACAAAACTACTAGTAAGTGTTCAAAACTTTAAATCCTCTGCTTGTTTTAATTTGAAGCATTTAAGATCTGGCAAAAAGCACATGACGTAATTCTTCACTATTTCATCTTTTACAATAGAGCTTTAAAAATTCTTTTTGAGTAAGCAGTTCCTTCGCTTCATGGTCATCCTACTGGTAATCCCATGCAATAACCCTTGATAAGATTAGCTTAAGGCTTTTAAGACTTTAAATATGTAAAACTGATACACACACACACACACACACATATATATGTATGTATATTTAACATTCAAGTGCCTAAGGAAAGGCATTTCACTCTAAATATCTGCTTTTTGTGAATGACAGTGTAAAGCCTGACTGTGATGTTTTATGCTCGCCTTAAGGAAATTATCATATATCGTCTACCAGATAGTACAGTAAAGGTAAAATATTGCTTTTATTGTAGGAAAAAACAAATGTTAAGTATTTCAGTAGTGGAAATAAAACAGTGGTTTATTTAATATGAAACTGATTCACAGTCTCTTTATCCTAATTTATAGGACCTTAAAGACCCTACATGGAAACAATGGAGAGAATTCGTTGTAAAGTATTTATTTTTGCCATACCAGCTGATAGCTGAATTTGCTTGGGACTGGTTGGAGGTGCACTACTGGACATCAAGATTTATCATAGTAAATGCCATGTTGCTTTCTGTTCTGGAATTACTCTCTTTTTGGAGACTATGGTCAAGAAGAGAATTGAAGTAAGTCTCACTGAGCTTGTTGAAGAGGATAAGAAAATAACTATTTGTCATGGTTTCATGATTGCTTGTTGAAATGGCTAAACACACCTCTGGGGTTGGTAAGAATATATTGATCTGAATCTGCACTAGTACTCATGCTTGGGTATCTTTCTCCTGTGGATACTTTAGGATTCATTATAGCTGGTGTTACTGTTTAGGTGTAGCAAATGCATTAATAGTAATATGCACATTTTTAAGTGTTAGTTATATAGTAACTGTTACAGTGAGAATCAAGTTTATGGTATTTGGAATAAGTTGTCTGCTGGGAGATAAACATAAGAATGTTGTTTTGATATGCTTATCATACAGTTATTGAAGAATGCTTTCTCAAGATCATAAGTAACAGACTAGTTACAGTGATATTTCTGAGACATGATCAACAAAGTGATCACAATTACTGTTTTCAGTCATTACTACTATTTTTTTTTCCTAGGGGTATTGATATTACTTCATAATCGTGACCTTTTGGTGATAGGTGTGTTAGAATCTGCTTGGGAGCATTTCTTGCTTTGGAGTACAGGGCTTAGTTTTCTCTGCTTACAGTTAGGGGGCAGGACATCCTCATAAGAGAACAAGGTGTGCGGTGACCAATCTGGAATACGGCCACTTTAACTTGTTGTGTTTTGTGGTCAGAATAAATTAGCTTAATGCTTCTTCATATAAAATTTAATATTACTGTGATTTAAGAAAGTTTTTCTAGAGTGCAAAATGATATTTTATAGATAAGAGGGTTAATTTGAAACTACAGCACATATTAGCTCTTCTCAGAGTGGTTTAAAACAAAACAGAAAGTCCCTCTAAGACTCTCCCTTTCCTTTTTCACAGGACTATTCCTCACAGAATGTGGAGGCATTTCTGGAAATTCTCAACCCAGGGTCTTTTTGTTGCCATTTTTTGGCCTTTTATTCCTCAGTTTGTCTGCAACTGTTTATTTTACTGGGCCTTGTACTTTAACCCAATTATAAATATTGATCTTGTGGTTAAAGAAGTGAGGCGACTGGAAACACAAGTGCAATAACTGGCATTGGAACTATTAAGGTGTTTAATTTCTAAAAACTGGTATTTGATTTGCTGCTTTTCTTTATATACGTAGTAGTGAGAGTGATTCAAACATGCAAAAGAAAAAAAGGAAAAAAAGCCTTAAAGTAAGTTACTGCTAAGCAAGCTAGATTCCAAGCTAAAGGTGGGCTTTATAATTCCCCCTCGCCCCCCCCCCCCCAAAAAAAAAAATCTGAATTAGCCTTTAAATACTGACACTGGCATGTCCAAATTTAGATTAACAAAATCAAACTTTTCCATTTTGTCTTGTGATATCTGATTATTTGCAAGCCTGCTGGGTAAAGCCTTAAAGCTATTGTTTGCTGAACAGCTACAGTGGTTTTGTACGTGAGCATTTCACACCAGCACCGTGTTTCTCAGAACTGAAGTTTGCCAAAGGAATGCTGTTCCTGGGTAGGCTTGATATTGAAAGTACTTCAGGGTTTTCAGTTGGCTATAAATGTGAAATTCTGACAGTCAAATACAAAAATCTCACAGTAGCACTTATTTTAATATTTTTCCCTGTTGAAGGCAGAGAGTACTTGAGAGTTGTTTTGGAAAATGTGGCAGTCGCCATTGAAAATTTTCTTTGTTCAGATCAGTGGGACTTCATCAATAGCATGTTTAATGCTGTCGTCTTAAGTGCTAATCCTCAAAATAAATTCAGGGTTATCCCTTAGAGGATTATTTTGGGGAAGTGACCTGACAGTGTAATTATGCCTTACTGCAATATAATGTGTGTATCTAGATCTGTGACTACATCCTGATTGAAAATTTATTTTGTATGATCAGAATTGCCATTTAATAATGTATGCTTTTTGACTGAAACAAAAGTTAACTTGTTTTTTCTTTCTTTTTTTTAATGCCATGTCCCCTTACATTGTCTTGTCTCTTTTTTATTTGTATCATTAAAATGAACTTCATATTTGCCTATGAATATTTATAAAGATTAAAGATCTCTTTTAAATCATAGTCCTTCTTTCTAAAGAAATTTTATTTACATTTTTATTGAAATACTTAGCTTTGGGTTCTGTAAATTTGTCATGTAGCCCTCTAGCCTTAAGTGAGTTGAAAGGAGACAAAACAGACTTGGAACATTCCTAGTTTTAATCTTACAATTATTGCTAATGAAAACTATATTATTCAGCAACTCTGTTTTCTTTTCATAGAAGACTTCCAAAAATTTTGAGATGACTCTAACTTAAACCTTCTCTAAATCCTTGTGAGTTCTGAACTTTGCAAACTCTTCTTTTCCCCTAAGCATTTGCTCTCACAGGAAAGGTAGCTGGTCCTCTTTTCAGTAGCTTCTCCTCTTTTCAGTATCTGTCTTGTTGCCAGTTTGCTTTTGCACTCTTAATCTGCCTCTGAAGTTTTATGGGTACAGTTTTTAGTCCTGTGTCTATAGGAAACTCAAGGTGTTCACAGAATGAGGAGCTACAGGTGTACCAAATGAACAACTTTGAAGTCTTAATTTTACTTTTAAAAAAAAAGGCAAAAATATATTAACCAATGTCTCATATAGGTAAGACTTAAGTAGAATGAAATGCAAAAGGTAAATTAGGCTTAGTAGCGAGTGTTTCATATAAATAAGAGGACTCTGACAGTGTCGCTTCATGTTTTTTTTTTTTTTTTCCTTGTCAGCTCAAAGTTAACAAATGGTAACACGTCACAAATCAGTGTTAAATGTCAGGGGAAAGGATGATATCATGCACCCAGTGTGGGGAGTGGATGAAAGATTTCAGGGAATGATACTGTGATATGAAGGTAAACCAGATAAAATTTAAGTCAGTTATTCCTTAAGCTGATTAAATTCATATTTAAGCAGTAAAAGCTTACTTTGAACTTGCTTTTAGTCCAATGAAAGTTAAACAAGAGGACAAATTTTTGATTTGGCTAATCTGGGCTGGGGTGGTAAAAAAAGAAGATTAGGAAAGAAGGGGAAAATTCATTTTTTTCTACGATAATAAGAAAAAAAATGTCTTTTTAGATTTAAATACATATAGAGTTTTCATAAAGACTGCTATCCTGTATCTAATATCTACAGAAAGGCTGAATCTCACCACAATTGAAATCTGGCCACAAAAGGTACTTTGCATGGTAGGGAGCTTTAGAAAAACACTTGGCAGCTTCACGGTCACATTCACATGCCATTTTTTGACATCGGTCTTCTAGTGATTCTGAAAGAAAATAAAGGTTAGTCTGATATTAGTTTGAATTAATACAAAATATTAAAGGGAAATATAATGATTATTACTTTCCATTCAATGTTTGCCACTTACAGCTGTAATATTTTATAAAATACTGTTGATGCTTTGTTTTGCTCTCACCATTCAAGTGTAATATGTTCTGAGTTGTAGTAAGATCTATAGCTCCTTCATGTTCTTTAGATGAAGCTCCATGGTAGGACATCACATTATTACAGGGTATATAAGCATTGTTTGGTTTAGCAAAAATTGCTTAATCATATGAACTATCTCAACAGAAGAAAATGCAGTCATTGGGTAAAGACGTTAATACTCTTTTTTCCCTTTCCTAAAAAGAGGAAATCTTTCCTTTCCTAAAAAGAGATCTTTCCTTTCCTAAAAAGAGGAAATCTGATACCTAATTCCTCTTTCTGAAGTGACGTGACCTTTCCTCTGCCAGCTGCTCTTGTGAATCTTGTGTTTGTGAAGTTTTCTGTTCTCCATACTCTATTACCTGTTGAAGGATGTAGCATTAAAATTACACATGTGAAATAAGAAGTGCAAATATGCTCAGCTGAAATTGCCCACCTTTCTTCCTAAGGTGGGCAGTAGAAGGACAAGATATTTTTTTAAGTACAATAAAAATCCATTTCTGGATTTTTTTTTTTTTTTTACAATATAATTGTAGTGTTATAACTGAATAGATTTTGTGGTGTGAACGGTTTATTCTACCACAATAAGCTTTGGTTTAATTATGCCAATCCAGACGTGTGATATTTTCTCTCTGTGATTCTCTGCAAACTAAAAATCCATGGTAATGTCTTACCTGAATATGTAGCATTTTGAAAGCTCGGTAAATCTCTGCTTGAGTTTTGCCTTGGAGCAGAAATAAGTGTTCAGTTTGTGACTGAATTTGAATCCTGCTATAAAATGCAAGTGTTCTTAATGTATATATTTTCAAGTTGTAACTAGCTACCTAAGAACCTCTTAATAGCATAAATAAAACATTAACTAGGAGCAATAAAGGCGAATTATTGCCTTTCCTCTTTTTGCTCCGATTTAATCTTCTCCATGGTATGGCAGGTACTTTGTTTCAACTTCTGTTTATTGATAACATGCTTGCTGTCAACATCTAGATTGGAATAGGAGCAGTAATGTTTAAAGGCAAATATAGGCCGACTGTTACTTGACTGTTAATCAGTTTGAGAGGCAAGATGCAGAGGAGGAAAGTAGAAAAGCTGTACATGAAAAGGAGGAAAGGAAATAGTGTTAAAAAGCTTGATGTAATTTTAGGTCAGGCAGATTCTTACTTGGGTTGTGAAATGGGTTTTGAGATTTGTCTGAATTACTTTCTTTGCCTTTAAGTATGGGGGTCAGAAACACGGACCCTCTGCTGTAAACAGCTTTATGTAAAGGTCTGTATTTTTGTGGTGCAGTCCTCAAGCTGATTTGCATTATAGGTAGCAGTAAAGAATTACAAGCAAAATAACTTTGATTTGCCACCTGATTTAAAAAACAAAAACCAAAAAAAAACCCTGTAATTTTAGCAGCTTTTGATAAAAGACAGTTTCAAGAAGTCCTTCAGGTGTATCAGAAAATTTTTATGAAGATTGTGTTTAAAGCCGGTGGGAATTGTCAACCAAATCATACTTTTTGTTTGTTTGTTTTTTTAAATCCTGTGTTTAAAGCTGGTGGGAATTGTGAACCAAATCATACTTTTTGTTTGTTTTTTTAAATCTCTCATACCTTTCCACCTTGTTTCTTTGTCATATTTTTGCCCCTATCTTTTACACTATAGATTAATAGTAATAGTATTACAGTTGTATTTTCAAGCAATTAAACATAGCAGGATGCAGTCACTATTGTATGGGCACTTGTACACTGCTTATATAAATACTGCATTTTAAAATTCATGTTTTTTGGCTTGTGGACATGTTACTTCCATAAATAAACTTAGTCATCAAATACACTATTACCTCAGTGTGTTGGAAATAGAAGTTGTAATTGCAAATTCATTCATAAATTGCAGCTACTAACAGTCGGACGATCAAGGAGGAGTAGGCCAGAAACTTGCCCATCAAACTTACAGACAGGTTGAAGTATTTTCTGTATAAAGTATGAAAAAAGATCCTTTTAAAAGTTTTTCTGGCCTCCTTTTTGTAG